ACTACCTCATCTCGATTAGATCAGGGTGCAGCTTCCCCTCTTGATGCCTTCAGCAGACACAGGTATGGTAAGGGACCTTTTGTCACTTTGGCAGATTCAACTAACCACCAGTTGAAAATATTAGGCAGTAAAAATTGCATCTGTACTGAACAGGTGCAACTTTTTTTTTCCTTATCATTAGTCCCTCGACAGTACTATATAACAACTATTTATGTAATATTCACATTACATTAGGTATTATAAGTCATCTAGGGATAGTTTAAAGTACACAGGAGGATGTGGGTAAATTCTATGCAAATACTGTTTCCCTTTATGTAAAGGACTTGAGTATCCTTAGATTTAGGATTTGAGGTGCAGCTGTCCTGGAAACAATTAGTCCTCCACAGACACCGAGAGATCATTATGCTCTTTCTCACTGAATCCCATTAGAGAATCGCTCCTAACATTGCACCAAGGCTACAGTATAACATTCACAGATGAGCCGGGCGTGGTGGCGCATACCTGTAATCCCAGCACTTGGGAGGCTGAGGCAGGAGGATCACTGTGAGTTCAAGACCAGCCTGGGCTACATTGTGAGTTCCAGTTCAGTGTCAACTATATAGTGAGACTGTGTTTCAAAAAAAAATTTTTTTTCACAGATGGGAGGTATTGTTGCATTCCTCTTCCTCCATTTAAAAAATATATATTAAGCTAGACATGGTGCTGCACACTTGTAATCACAGCACCTCTGGAAGGCAGGAGGATTGCAAATTTAAGGCTAGCCTGGGCAATTTAGCGACTTAGCAAGACCCTGTCCCAAAATTTAAAAGAGGACTGGGAATGATCCTGGCATAGTGGCACATACCTATAACCGTATAACACTGGGCCGGGGATTTGGCTCAGTGGCTCTGCCGCCTGCCTTGCAAGTGCAAGGGCCCAAGTTCAATCCCCGGTACCCCCCCGCCAAAGAAAAACCATATAGCACTTAGGAGGCTGAGGCCAGGAAAATAGACTTGAGTTTGAGTTGGGCTACATGGTGAGTTCAAGCCCAGCTCCAATTACAAGTGAGACTTTGTCTCAAGACAGACAAATAAAAAGGGGCTAGGAATCCCTTCTTGGCCTTTGGGCTAAGATCAAGTGTAAAAAGGGCTAGGAATATTGTTCAGTATGAAGGCTCTGGTTTGAATCCACACCACCACCATCCAAAAAAAACCAAGCATTTTACAATTAATAAAATGATGAATGGAATTCAGTCTGGATTTATTATCATTGTTGCTGTTGTCGTCACCATCGTCATCATTATGTGTTTCCTTCAATTTTTTTTTTTTTTTTTTTTTTTGTGCCGGGATCAAACTCGGGTCCTTCCACTTGTGAGGCAGGCAGTGACCCCACAGAGCTAAATCCCCAGCCCTTCCTTCCAATTTTAAAAGAAATTAAAACATTTGCATACCCCTAAAATTAGTATGAGCCCTATTTATGGTGCCTACTATGACTCACGAATAAGTCAGGTCTACACTGAGCCTTTGCTTGCATGCTGTGGTCTCCCCTGTTCTGACTTGATTGTAAAGCTATAAAAACAATAGACTTAGAGCTGTTATAACATCTACTTTCCATAAATACCTGAAGACGCTGTAAATATGATCAGGGTCAGCTATCTCTAACACTATGTTTACTGCTGTGGAAATATGAATTCACCAGAGCTTCCTGAAGGGCAATGTGACTCAACAAATTAAAGTCCTACAAACTTTTGTTCAACCTAGAAATTCTACCGCCCCAAAGTAATCATCAGAAAAGGGACTAGTAGTTAGGGAACAAGGTTGTTGATCAAAACACTGTCATGGTGCAAAATGAGATACAACTTAAGCATGCCACAGCAGGGGCTAAATTCAATAAATGATGATACTTTCCTGGATGAAAAACTATGCAGTTGCTTAAAATTTTGTAGCTGAGTGACATGGAGAATGTTCATAGTTATGGTACTAGATAACAGCAACAGCAAAAAGGCCAACAAATAGAAATATATTAATATTAATTGGGGTTATCATCCTCTAGACTACAAATCATAGAAACCCAAAGTTAAGGTGGTTTAACCAGTAAAGGAAATCTGTTGGCCCAATTATTTACTTATTTTTGCAATATTGGGAAATGAACCCAGGGCCTTCACGTTGAGCTACGTCCCCAGCCTTTATTTTTATTTTGAAACAGGGTTTCACTAAGCCACACTATTGTTCAAACTGAGCTCAAACTTGCGATCCGCCTGCCCCAGCCTCCCAGAATGCTGGGATTAATGTCACGTGCCACCACACCCAACTGGCTCAAATAATTATTTTGTTTTGTTTTACTCACTATATACTGCAGGATGGCCTCAAACTCACAGCCATCCTCCTGCCACAGCCTCCCAAGTGCTGAGATTACAAGAGTGTGCCACTATGCCTGGCTCAGATAATTTTTCAAAAAATAGTAGTAGGAGTGTTGAAGTAAGGGTCGGCCCAGCTGATGGAGTCACCAAGATCTGGTCCCTCCATTGTACTCCTCATACTGTCAGCTTATCCACAGGTCAATGACCTGCATGTTGTCAACTGGCTGACAACAGTAACCAGAGTCACAGGCGTCTTCATTCACCTCTAATGAAGGTGGGGTCGTCTTTCATCTTTTTTTTTTTTTTTTTTTTTGCTAACCCCAGGAAAGAAAACAAGCTTTCTATTTTAAATCCTCAGTAAACGTCTCCTTACATCTCACCAGTCCCCGCCATGACCCAATCAGGTGCCGTGGGAATTGTTCATTGGCTTAACCAATTGAGAGCTCCAGAAAGGGTCAATCGTATTCTGGTTCCTATTAAGGAGATGGATTGTAATGAATGTTGTGACAGCAGTACAGTGGCCAATTTTGTTAGACATATAATCCACACACACACACACACACACACACACACACACCTAGACTAAAAAAATTCTAGAAAGAAACAATTGGAAAAGTCAAAATGATTGGTAGGTAACATTATTAGTGAATGTCTTTCTCCTTTATACTCTTCCTGTATTCCAATACGTATGCATATACAAATAGTAAGCTTTAGTTTCAAAAACAATGGAGCATATCCCAGTGGTTCCTCCATCCCAATCCTTATTCCAGCAGGGGCCCCAGAGTGACTGAGGCCAGAGCCTGTGGTTTTTCTGCTGACAGAGTCAAACTCCAGTGCCCCGTGGGCCCTTGTTGTTCACTGGACAGGTGCCACCAAATCACTCTCTTTGCATTAACCTGGACACTGTGGCCTGTGGGAGCCATGGCGTGGGCTGCTGAGGGTTGACCAGACAGCCAGGAGAATCATCAGTGGAGACAGTGGCTGCAGTATTACCAGAAATATTCTGGCATCAGCAGCGTGTGCGTCCCAAGATCTCTCAGGACAAATCTCTGCTACTAATTCATACCCCTTGTGTGGCTATAATCTAGGCCAACAGCCTTCCTTGGGTAGGAAGGTCAGAGTCAGCCCTTGGTTTAAGAATCAAGGCTCAGCCGGGCATCATGGTGCACGCCTGTAATCCCAGCACTCAGGAGGCTGAGGCACGAGGACTGCTGTGAGTTCCAGAACAGCCTGGGCTACATAGTGAGTTCCAGGTCAGTCTCAACTACACGGTGAGACCCTGTCTCAGAAAACAAAACAAAAAAACAAAAAAACAGGGTCAGGGCTCAGTCAGTAACTGGGCTTAGTCTTCAATCTGTGACCAGGATCAAAGCTCAGTATGTGACCAGATTCAGGGCATAGTTGGAGGTTGGGGCTCAGTTACTAGAGTTTTCCGACAGAGGGTCAGAATTCAATCTGAAATCAGGGCCAATCCCAGGGATTGAACTCAGAACCTTGCACTTGCAAGGCAGGCAGAGGCACCACTGAGCTAAATTCCTGGCCCTGGGGCTCAGTTTATGACCAAGATGAGAGCTTAATCTTCCACTAGAATCAGGGTTGCATTTAAAACAAGGATTACTCTGGACTGAGTAACTGGATCAGTCTGTGATTAGGTCTTAATCTTAGGCTAAGACAGGATTCAATCTGTGTTCAGAATTAAAGTCTCAAATTGGAATTAGTTTTTTTGTTGGGCTTGGATCCCAGCTCAATATGTGACTGGTCAGGGCTCATTCTAAAATGATAGAATTCAGTCTAGAACTGGAGTAGAGAAGCTCTGTCTTTATATGACACCAAGGCTCAGTCAAATTCAAATTAAGAAATAAGTTGGATGTGGGATCAGGGCTATGACCAGGGCTCCGTTCTGAGTTGCAATAAAGAAATTTCTGGAGACAGGTGAGCCTAGGGTAGACCAGTCTGTAAGAATTGAGAACCCCAGGCAGGCGTAGTAGGGTCTGGTCCCTGCAGTAAGCTTCCCCTTCCCTACTGAGGCCGGTGTCCTAGAGCCTTCTAACCTACATGGCTCTGCTGCTTGAGATCCCCTCGCGCCGGAATAAAAATAGCCACTCACTTCAGAGCAGCTGACAGCGGGTGCCAGGCTGCCTGGGTGGAGCGGGAGCTGTAGAGAGGGAGGAGGGTTGCCCACGCTCAGCCACAGCTGTGTGACCTTGGGAAAGTCACCCCTCTACCTCAAGCCCATTTCCTAAATGGCAGAATGGAGGGTGAAGATGGTACCCGCCCCAGAGAGAGGAAAGGAGGGACCAGTGACACAACATATAGCACTTGTTACTTGGAGGGAGGTCTTGGGAGAAGCAATGCTCCTTAACCACCTTCCCACAGTACCCTTTTTCAATCTCTACCTATTGCCGGACATTTCCCACACACTGGCCCCAGTATGACCTCCCTCTGGGTGGTCCTGTGTCAGAGTGACCGGGGAAAGAAGGACAGATCCTTCTGTGCCATCTTCAAGTGTCCCTGGAAGAAGTGAAGAAGACAAGGAGAAAAGAAGAAAAAGACTTCTCTCCCTTCTGTGTCATGGTGTGTTTAGTCTGAGCCAGTCCTCTGGGAGGCACACGTCCAGATTTTGCATCCTCCCACGGGCAGAACCGTCCACACCCATACCTCTGCACCTGCTCTTCTCTCTGCTTCCCGGGCACGTCTCCCTTTCAGTTTGGCATCACGGACTGTCCTTCCAAGAAGGAGTTCAGCAGTCACCTTTCCTGCAGGGAAGAGATATCTACTACCTCCCTCAGAGAACCCGCACGGTCCATCCTCTACTGGGCCTCCGTTTCTCTTACCAGATAACTGTGGAGTGACTGAGACGGTTTCCCTTCCTATTCCTGACCCAAACAACTTGAAAGGGAGCCCTAAGAGTTTCCAGAAGGGGCTGGATAAGCTGTACCCGCCGCCGCAGGTCCCTCGTGCCTCCGTGAAGCCCCGAAGAGGAGGAAGCGAGGGGGAGTCAAGAGAGGCCTCCGGAGACAGCCATCTCCAGGGGGGCGGTTCTCCCTGGCAGCTGCCCCCAGCCTGCCTGCGCCCTGAGCCCTAGAACCTGTTATCAACCTCCTTAGTCATCATACTGGGAGCTCAAATATAGCTCCTACCGCTCCCCTCTCAGGCAGGGTCCGCCCGCCCTGCCTCCCCTTCCTCCCAGGGATGCAACCATTGCAGGCCTCAGCTGCAGCGTCTACCAAATGGGTGGGCTGAAGTCGGCGATGAGAGTGAGGCTGATGAAGATGATGAAGACACCTAAGAGCCTTTACGGAGAGCCTGCTCCTGCCAGGCTCCGTGCTAAACATTTTATATGAATTACCTTGTTTAGTCTTCACGGCAAACTTAAGAGATACCTGCTCCTTCTCTCTCCCTCACAGAAATCAGGAATTTCAGCAACTTCCCCCAGTGAGTCAATGTCAAGGCCCGGGGGCATCTGAGCTGGGAGTTCCCAACCCTAGGACTGGTCCTAGGGGCCTGGATCTGCTCCCCCCCCCCCCCCCCCCGACACCAATCCCTTCCAAGACTGCAGTAGAAGCTGGTAATCTTGGGAGCCTAACTTTTCTCACTTGTCAAATAAGAGTCAGAGGTGAGCTCAAATTTTCCTTTACTCTCCGGTGACTTGAGCACCACCGCCCTGTGCGCTCTTAAACCCACCCTAACACCATCTCCACCCTCACCTCCAACTCTGCCACCACCTCATCCATCAAAATGACGCCCTCACCAACTCCGCTGCCCCATCTCACCTCCACCCTCACTGCCGTTACCGCTATCCCTTCGTTCTACTACCGTGGACCGCGGTCCGTACCTTCGTCACTACCGCTCCTCCAGTTCCACAGTCGAAGTTCGACCGCCCCAGTTCACCAGGTGACCTTGAGCAAGCTCCCTCCTGAACCAAACCCAGAGTCCTAGAGAGAGGAGAGCTGAAAGGAGCCTCATTGAGCCGGGCCTAGGTGTGGGGACATCTGAGGGCAGCAAGGTATCGGCGGAAGGAGGGGCCGGCGCCTAGGCCGAGATGGAAGAGGACTCCAGTGACTGGAGCCTGAGTGTCCGGTTCTGGAACGGGACGAGTGAAGCCACGCAGAAGTGGGGCAGTGCAAGAGGAAGAAGAACAGATACTGGGCCTGAAAATGGAGCAAGGGTGGGGGCCACGACAAGGCCTGAGCCGGCAGGGGGTCAGGAAGGACGGGATCAGGTTAGGAACTCAGTGTCCTTGAGGCCCTGGAGAGAGTACTGACCTCTGAACCACCACCTGTCTTGCAGGTGTGTTTACGCTCCTCCCAGGAGCAAGGGCTTGCCAGGCTCTCTGGCGTGAGGGCGGGGACAAACAGTGGTCTCCTGCAGGCTTCCAGTTGGGACCTAGGCTAGGAGGATGAGCACACCCCACCCGCCATGGCCCTTCCGACCTCAGCAGCCAACTTGCAGGGTTTCCAGAGGGTAGCCACCTTGCTCTGTTCACCTCCAGCCTAGGAAGTAGGGGCCTGTGCCTTTAAATTCTCAGCAGGTTGAAACGGCTGATGACATCACGGTTCCCGGGAGCGGAGGAGCTGGAGCCAGAGCCCGAGGGAGCCCGGGCTGCTGGGGGCTGCAGACATGGAGGGCCAGATCGGCAGTGGTAATGGGAGGCCAGGGACCCGGGCTGGCCTGGGCTCCTTGCTTGTGCCTCATGGGGTTTCTCAAACTGGAGCACCATCCAAGGTAAGACTCCCCAAAACCTGGAACCTAGAGCCGCTATTCCGGATCCCTAGTCTCACATCCCACATATATATATAT